CTTCTAAACAGGAAGTAGGCTCAAGAATCCAGTGGCATACGTGTTATTAGACGTGGACAAAGTAGTTTTGAGTGTTGACCTAGAGAGCAAAGCTGAGTTGGATGCACAGCCAGGGAAGACTCAGGTTTAGCACTGCCTGAGGCTACTAAACCTTGCCATGAGTTTTAGAAATGCTTTTGTTTTTCAAGTCTCCCTAGACGGCTCTGGCTGGCTTGGATCTCACTGTGTAGACCAGGCTGACCTCAAATTCAGTGATCCACCTTAAAGGGCATTACACCTGACCCTGCATTTTTCAAATGTTCTTACACAGCAGGGAGAATCAATCTGCAGACTTGCCTCTCACTGCTGGTAATATAACCTAGTATTTTCTATTTGAAAATAGACTTTTTTTTTTTTTAATGTGTGTGTGTTTGTGTACATATACTCTGGAAATATGTGCCATTGTGTCCAGGTGGAGGCCAGAGAAAACCTTTCAAGGGTTGGTTGTCTCCTTCCGCTCTGCACTTTGGGGATTGAGCTCAAGTCATCAGGCCTGAGCAGCAAGTGCTTTTATCCGCCCTAGTTTTCTCCCTAGCCCTAGTTGCCTTGACTCTTCGACATAGAGCCACGAAGTGTCAGAACTAAATTAAGTTGGTCCCAGCATGATTAATTCTTCGAAATCCCAAGCTGATTTGCTATCTCATCTCCCTGCGTGTCTCAGGGTGGATAGGTCAGCTTATCAGAGCTGTCATCCCACAGCTTCTGGCTGGCGCTCTTTGTTGTGACACTGTCCTTGTTTCTGGCTGCTGTCAGGGTCCTGTCTTAGTTCTGCTGCTGAATTGCTAACTTCTTTGTCTCTCTGCTGGGAGACTGTCAGTGGAGACTCCCAGGTGAGTCATCAACCCTCTGTCTGAACCTAAGGCGTTTCTGAGCTCTGGGTAGCTCATCTGATGAACTCATGAGGCCCAGGGTCATGGGATGATATTACTAGTCTATGGGGCAATCATAACTGGGCAAATAACATCTCTTGTAAATTGGCATGTGGGCTTGTCTACTTTGAGTCCGCAGTGGGGCACTCTGCATAACTCAGTATATTTAAGAATGTTGAGGGTTTCTTTGTTTTAAACTTTTTTTTTTTTTTTCTGAGACAGGGTTTCTCTGTGGAGCCTTGGGTGTCTTGGACTTGCTTTGTAGACCAGGCTGGCCTCAAACTCACAGAGATCCACCTGCCTCTGCTTCCCTGAGTGCTGGGGTTACAGGTGTATTCCACTGCACCATGCTCAGTTTTAAACTTTTATTGATTCACATGGTACACAGACATGCATGCGGACAAAACACTCATACACATTTTAAACTTTATTACTTGATGTGTATGGGTGTTTTGTTTGCATGTATGTCTGTGTACCCTGTGAATTCAGCACATTTGAAGGCCAGAAGAGGGGATCAGGAGATAGAGATGGCTGTGTGTGCGCTGCCATGTGGGTGCTGGAAACTAAACTTGGGTTCCTTTGTAAGAGCAGCCAGTGCTCTTAACTATTGAGCCGCCTTTCCTGCCCCCACTGTTTGATTTTTAATGTATAGACTTTAGATATATGCCACTTTATAAAAGTCCTATCTCAAAGATGCATAAGAGGGCTGAGCATATTGGTATATGTCTGTAATTGCAGGACTTGGGAGGTAGAGGAAGATCAGGAGGTCTAGGTCAGTTTCAGATTCATTAGACAGTGTCTCAGTAAAACAACAAAGATGCCTTGAGATTTTCAAAAGGAAAAAAAAAAGCCTCTAGGTAACAGTAAAAGAAGCAAAGCTTCCAATGTGGATCCTAGGGATTTGATGGCTAACGTCTAACACAGGCTGTGCTCAGTAATGAGTGTCAGTTCTGGGCCTATCATACAAGGGAGCTTTCAGTGTGATGAGAGTGGGAAAATGAATGCAATGCAATGGGGTGATAATGGCCAGAAGGGCTACATTGGTGCCTCTGAAGCACCGTGCTCAAGTCAGAACACTGAATTGTAAAGTAGTGTGAGTACCTGGTAGCTCTCCTCAGATGAGTCTGCACTCTCCATGTGTCTCTTCCTCACAGAGAGCTCAGTGGTCTTGGCACTCACTATCCAGTCTGAGGTAATGTGTGAACTGATAGCAGTAAACATGCTTCCACTGTGTAAGTGGTTGCTCATGTGCCACCACCGCCTATCTCCAGGTTCTTGAAGAAAACCAGCTCATGAGGGCTTACAGCCATCTTAACTCCAATTCCGGGGGCATCTGTTGTCCTCTGCTGGCCACTGTGAGCACCAAGCATGTAGTGCATATGTATACATGCAGACAATTTATAAATAGAAAATTAGAAATTGAAGATGACCAAGACAGGGAAGCTAAGGCAGCTGGATCTGAGTCTGAAGCCAGTCAGGTTTACCTACAAGTTCCAGGCCAGCCAGGGATACACGGTGAGACTCTATCTCACCGTGTATTTCAATGGTCTCTATTTCAATGGTCATGTTTCAGTGTTCCCCCCTACCCCGGGGTGGTTGAGACAGGGTTTCTCTGTGTAGCCAATGAAGGTAAGCGCACCATCATTGCTCAGCCACACTTAAACTTTTTTTTCTCTTCATATTAAGAACCAGACATATCTATGATGTCTGTCCTGGATGATCCTTCCTATACTACTCTGGGTCTGTGCTACACTCTATCCTCCTGAACCTGGGGACTGTATCAGTGTCTCTCTCTCTCTCTCTTTTTTTTTTTTTTTTTTTTTTTTTTTTTGGTCCCTGAATGGTGTAGACAGACACCTGGAATGCATATCAAAGGAGGGAGGAATGAAAGGTTAGGCATGGCCTCATGTGGAGGTGGTGTCTCACCACAGCCTGGTAGTTGCTTTTCATCCAGTCCCTTTTGAGCGGATAATTACAGGAAGCTGAGGCAGAGCCGCTCTCCCCCTGTGGTATCTCCTGCAGTTGAAAATGTTCTGTGAAGCTGGGTGTGGTGGTGCACGCTTGTAATCTCAGCACCCTGGGAGGCAGAGGCAGGTGGATCTCTGTGAGTTTGAGGCCAGCCTGGTCTACAAAGTGAGTCCAGGACAACCAAGGCTACACAGAGAAATCCTGTCTCAAATAAAAGAAAAAGAAAATGCTCTGTGGACTATCCTGACTTTTAGGGCTCTATTTATCCCCTAGACCTGCCTTTCTAACCTCTGACCTATCTCCTAGATTTTCTTGGATACCCAGAATTTTAGTTACATGCTAAAAGGTATCCAAAAGTCTCTTGATTCTTGTGACTTATTTGGTGTGTTACTTCTCTGGTCACTATGACAAAACACCTGACAACCATTTTAAAAGAGAGATTTGGGCTGGAGAGATGGCTCAACGTCAAGAACACTGGCTACTCTTGAAGAGGACTGTAGTTCAATTCCCAGCACCCACTCGGCAGCTCACAAGTGTTTATAACTGTTGTATTAGTCAAGGTTCTGATGAGGAACAAAACTGATAGTAGTATGACTATCTATCTATCCATCCATCCATCCATCTATAGAGGATTTATTAGAATGGCTTACAGGCTTTGGCCTAGCTAGTTCAAAAATGGTTGCCTATCAATTAAAGGTCCAAAAATTCAGTAGTTGTTCAGTCCACTAGGCTGGATGTCTCAGTTGGTCTTCAGTGTACACCAGAATCTTGAAGAAGTAGGCTCAAATGCCAGTGAAGGTATGGATGTAACATCTAGAGCAAGCAGGCAAAGCAAGCTTCCTTCTTACAAGTCCTTTACACAGGCTGCCAGCAGAAGGTGTGACCCAGATTAATTTGGTGGGTCACCTTTAAAGATCTGGATTGGAAGTGGTGTTCCCACTTCAAATGGTTTAGTTAAAAAAAAAAAAAAAATCCCTTGCAGCTGTACCAGCTCCTTGGGTTTCAGTTAATTACCTATATAGTCAAGAATAGCCATCACAACTGTAGCCCCACAAAGTGCGCATTTTTTAAAAACAAAAGCCAAGAGGAGATTTATCTTGGCTCAACCGTTTCAGAGGGTTGTCTTTCTCGACAGGATAAGAATGGTGGCTGGTTCAGCTTCTGTCCTTGTCAGTTTGAGCTTGCACAGCTTGTTAATCTCTGCAGATCATGCAGCAGATACTAGGCCAGAACCTGGGCTGTATGTCCTTCAAATATTGCTATATCCTCCAGCTGGGCCGCACGTTCCAGAGGTTCGACCGCCTCCCAAAATAGCATCACCAGATGGGGACCACATGGTAAACAATCCTGTGGGGACTGTTTTTTTTTTTTTTTTGGATTCATACAGTGTTTGGGGAAAGGGATTCTGCAATGTAGTTAAGGAGATTGAGAGGATTGAGCTACTCAAACGATCCCTAAACCCAATAACCAGTATTCTTAAAAATTACCAAAGGGAGGCCGGCACGCCTTTAATCCCAGCACTCAAGAGGCAGAGGCAAGGCAGATCTCTGTGAGTTTGAGGCCAGCCTGGTGTACAGAGCGAGCCCAGGACAGCCAAAGTTACACAGAGAAACCCTGTCTTGAAAAACAAAGAAACAAACAAAAAACCAAAAACAAATTACCAAAAGGGCTGGAGAGTTGGCTCAAGCAGTTCAGGGTACTTATGCTCTTCCAGAGGATCCAGGTAAGAAAATGAAATTAAAAAAGGCATGGAGATGGGGAGATGAAGGTGGCCACATCAGGCTTTGGAATCAGGAAGCCACTGGATCCCTACCCGCAGGCTCAGGTCGCTAGTGCTGTCCTTAACCTCACAGCCTGTGCGCGCCAGCTCACACAAGGGGGCGGTACTCCCGGCGGGGGCGGGACCAACAGCGGCGCACACTGCGGGTGAGAGGGAAGTGAGAGAAGCGAAGGGCGGGGCGCCGCGAGGCCACGCCCACAAGGCAGGCGGTGACGTCGGCCCGCCCGGCGGCGCGGCTGAGGGTGGACTGCCAGCGGCGGCTTCCGCGCGCTGGTACGCGAGCGGACGGCTGACGGCTCGCAGCGGCGGCCGCGGCGCGGCGGCCAATGAGGGCGGCCGGAGGGGGCGGGGCATCGGCTGCGGTTTTGTTCCGCGGTGCCTGAGGCGCACCGTCCCCATGCGCGGAGCGCGGCCTGCGCGGCCGGCGCCCCGCCCCAGGTACGGTGCCGGGCGCTCGCCCGCCGGCCGGAGAGTGCTCCCGGTCGTCGTTCGCATGCGCCCCGCCACGAACTCCGGCCGCCGGAACGCCGTGTCCTTGCGCTGTCAGTCCCGAGTCTCCGCACGTCGGCCGGCGCCGCGCAGCCGCACGTCGAGAGCCGGGTGCATCGCCGCAGCGCGCGGAGCCCCTCCGGCCAGCCGGCGCCTCGGCACCTTAAGGTCCCCGCGCGCCCCGGGCCCAGCACCGTCCTCGTGTTCCGTGTCCCCTACGCCCTAAGACCCCAGGGGCCCAACACCTCAGACCCCTGGGCCCCAGCTTCCCAGAGCCCCGTGGGCCCCCTGCTCTCATATCTCGTCCCGAGTCCCGGGACCCCTCCAAGCTGACCAGGCCCCAAGCACTCCTGTTGTGCGCGCTCCTGCACGCCGGGCGGTAAGGCCTGCCCGCAGCGCCTGGGGCGCGCTGCCACTTGTTGAATCACTTTCGTGTAGACTTTGAGACCTGTTGTCGCCATGCTGAGCCCGGGAACCCGCTGTTTCTGAGACTCAGTGATTGTTATTTTGTACTCAGGAAGCAGGAAGTTTGACGAGATATGATGGTCCCTTAAGGGAATCCCAAGAACAGATCCTACCCAACGACCTGTGGAAGGTGACTTGGAAGTGTCTTCCGAAGCCACTTTTCTTCGTAGACTGAAGGGTGTGTAAGTCCCTTTAAGACTTCCTGTGAGTTGGAGGATGGAATGTACGATGTACACAGTGTATTTTACCGCTCCTGATTGGCCATTGCCTTACTTTGTACGTTGGATTTTGCTTTCCCTTAGTCTTAAGTACTTATCTGAAATACATCACTTCAAATTAAAATCACGGTTGAATTTTCTGCACTTCTAAGTAGTTCATCATTAGGTATATCTTTAAGTATGATTGTGAGCTTCCATAATTTTTTTTTTTCTTTCTGGTGTTGGGACTCTCTCCATGGGTCTGGCATACCTACACCTCCAGCCCCATTACTTACTTTATGATCATGTCTCAGCTCTTGAGAATTTTAGAGGAGTAGTTTAACTTCAGGAATGTACTTTAGTTTTTACATTAAGAAATTTGACGTGCTTACTGATGCTGTTTCAAATTCATACTTGGTCACTCTTGTGTCTCTGATGAAAGTAGGTCTTAGAAGGGAAGTTGAGCGTATCACTCAGAAGGCAGGACTGAGGATGGTTTTCTTGCCAAATTCTGAATGTTACTCCCAGAATGGAAATTGAAATTGTCTAGAAACAGTGGATCTTCTTTACATGGGTTTGGTTAGCGCTGGGCTGCCTGTGGCAGTTATTTCAGGTGATTCTCTCTTCCATACTCCCCTTTGTGTACTGGGCATAGCAAACCTGGTCCCTTCCCGCGGCTTCCTAAGTGATTCTGCTGGCTGTCCCTGGAGCGTAGATCTTGGTTCTGGAACTTTCTCCTCCGATTTGAGAGCTTGTGACTTGGACTGGAGCCATACCGAGTTACATACATGGCCTTTCAGTTTTTCTTCACTTAGGTTGGATTTGACAACCATAAAAGAGACAGTTTTAGTTGCTACTCTGAGACAGAGAAAATGTTCTTTTGTTGTTTGTTTTTTGGCTTTTCGAGACAGGGTTTCTCTGTGTAGCCTTGGCTGGCCTAGACTCACTTTGTAGACCAGGCTGGCCTTGAACTCACGGAGCTCTGCCTCTGCCTCCCTGAGTGCTGGGATTACAGGTGTGCACCATAGCACCAGGCTTTTTTTTTTTTTTTTAATTACAAAATGGATTTCATGTGTATGGCAGTGTGCTTTGCCTGATTGTCTGTATCACGCCCATGCTTGGTGCCTTGGGAGGTGAAAAGAGGGTTTTGGTTTTACATGAGCTGGAGCTGCAGGTGGTTGTGGGACATCATGCTGTTGCTAGGGAGTCTAACATAGGTCCTCTGCAAGAGCAGCCCCTGCTCCTAACCACTGCGCTGTCTAGCCCTCTAGCGCAAACAATCCTCTTCTTTTTTCTTTCTTTCTTTTTCTATTTTTTTTTCTTTCGAAATATGGTTTCTCTGAGATCTGTGTGCCCCTGGAGTGCTGGGATTAAAGGTGTGTACCATCACTGTCTGGCTTCCTTTTTTTTTTTTTTTTTTTAACTAGCTGTATTTCCAACTTCTTGTTACAGAAATTTTGTGTATACACACACATGTACTCAGAATCCAGGAATATCTAGGAGAGAGAACATGATTTTACTGGTATAGACAAGGTCAAGAAAATCCTTAGATATTTCCACTGGTGCTTTGGAAACACTGAAAAAACTTTTTTTTTTAAATCATGGAAAACTTTATTTCTGGGGTGTCAGTGCCTTTAATCCTAGCTCTTGGGAGGCAGAGGCAGGCAGATCTCTGTGAGTTTGAGGTCAGCCTGGTGTACAGAGTGAGTGAGTGAGTTCCTGGATAGCCAGGGCTACACAGAGAAACCCTATCTCTAAAAACAGAGCAAAACAAAGAAAACAAAAACTTTACTGTTTTTGAGACAGGGTATCTCTGTGTAGCACAGGCTGGCCTGAAAATTGTAAACCTCCTTTCTCTGTCTTTCAGTGCTGGAATTATAGATGTGTGCTACCATGTCTGGTAATATTTTTTGGGGGGAGCAGTTTTAGGTTCACAGGAAATTGAACTCTTCTCTTCCCTACTTTACTTAGTCTATGCTGTTATCAATATCCCTATTAGAGTGTCGTATTTGTTACAGTTGATAACTGGACTTTTATTTTTTAAATCTCTTTAAAAAAAAAAGATTTATCTATTGCATTTTTATGTTTTTGAGTGTTTTGCTGTGCATGTATGTGCCTGGGGCCTGCTGAAGTCAGAAGGGGCCGTCAGGTCCTCAGGAATTGGAGTTGTGGATGGTTGGGAGTCTCCATCTGGGTGCTGGAAGTTGAACTCTGCTCCTCTGCGAGTGCCATATCCCTAGCCCGGATGCTGGGCTGTTTTGAGTTTTGACAAATGTATAATGGTATGGATTTAACCATTATAAGCAGAGTAGTTTTAAATAACCTAATAATGGCTCTTTGCTTCACCTGTTCATCCCTCCTTCTCATCCTTTTTTTTTTTTTTTTTTTGGTTGTTATTGTTGTTTGGTTGTTATTGTTTTCTTTCCGAGACAGGGTTTCTCTATATAACCCTGGCTGTCCTGGAACTCACTGTGTAGACCAAGCTGGCCTCAAACTCAGAGATTTGCCTGCCTCTCACTTGCTGGGATTAAAAATTTGTGCTACCACCGCCCCAGCCACCACTCATTCTTTTTACTTTCTCTATCGTTTTGCCTATTCTAGGATGTCATACATTTGGCAGTCTTTTCGTATTGGCTTCTTTCACTTAATATGAGGTTTACTAGCATGATACCTCACTCTTTAAATGTTTATTTTAATTATGTGTATTGTGTGTGAATGTACACGTGTAAGCACAGGTGCTGGAGGAGTCCAGGAGAGGGTGTTGGATCACCTGGAGCTGGAACTAGATGTGATTGTGAGCCATCCAGTGTGAGTGCTGGAAACTGAATTAAGGTTCCCTGCAAGGAGGTATAAACTGCATGGTGCTTAGTTTTTTTGTCAACTTGACATAATGCTAGAGTCATTTGGAAAGAGGGAACCTCACTTGAAAAAAATGCCCCCATTAGATTGGCCTATGGGCAATCCTGTTGGGTATTTTCTTTCTTTCCTTCTTTCTTCCTTTCTTCCCTCCTTCCTTCTTTCTCTGTTTTTTTTTTTTTTTTTTTTTTTTTTTTTTTTTTTTAAGATTTTATTTATTTTATCTGTGAGTGTTCTACCTGCATGTGTGCCTGCATGTTAGAAGAGGGCATCAGATTCTAGTATAGACGATTGTAAGCCACCATGTGGTTGCTGGGAATTGAACTCAGGCCCTCTGGAGGAGCAGATAGCTCTCTGGATGAACCATCTCTGCAGCCCCCTCGGGCATTTTCTTAGTTGATGTGAGAAGTGCCACCCCTGGTGCTAGTGGTCCTGGGTGCTATGAGAAAGCAGACTTATGCACGCCTGTGATCCCAGCACTCAGGCAGAGGCAGGTGGGTCTCGGTGAGTTTGAGGCCAGCCTGGTCTACAAAGCAAGTCCAGGACAGCAAGGCTACACAGAAAAACCTTGCCTTGGAAAAAAGAAAGAAAGAAAGGGAGGGAGGGAGGGAGGGAGGGAGGGAAGGAAGGAAGGAAGGAAGGAAGGAAGGAAGGAAGGAAGGAAGGAAGGAAGGAAGGAAACGAAACGAAGCAAGCAGACTTACCAAGCCATGAGGAGCAAGCCAGTAAGCAGAGTTTCTCCATGGTTTCAGTTTCTGCCCCAGCTTCCTTTCTTGATGGACTGTGGCATAGAATTATAAGCTGAAATAAATTCTTTCTTCCCTAAGTTGCTTTTGGTCATGGTGTTTTATCACAGCAGTAGAAAAACCCTAACTAAGACATGTTTGTTTGCTTGTTTGCTTGCTTGCTTTTTAGCAAGCTTTGTAGAACAGGCTGGCCTCGAACTCATAGCATCTGCCTGCCTCTGCCTCCCCAAGTGCTGAGGTTACAGGCATGTGTCACTGCTCTGGGAGACATGTTCCTAACTGCTAAGCCTTTTATCCAGTCCCCAGTGTCACATACTGAAGAGCATTTTGGCTATCTATCTATCTGCATTGAAGTAGGGTCTCATTATATAGCTCTGACTGGCCTGGAACTTACTATGTAGATCAGACTGGCCTTGAACTTTCAGCAATCCTCTGCCTCTGATTCCCCAGTGCAGGGATTAAAGGCATGTACCACCGTGCTTTGTTCATTGTACCTATTTAAAGTTATTGCCAAAGTTAAGGACATAAATATTATTTAGGACAACCATTCAGTTCTCAACCTGTGGGTTTTGACTCCTTTGGGGGATGAATGACTTTCACAGGGATTGCATATCAGATATTCTGCATATCCGGTATTTACATTGTGATTCATAGCAGTAGCAAAATTATAGTTAAGAAGTAGCAACGAAAATAATTTTGTGGTTGGGGGTCACCACAACGTGAGGAACTGTATTAAAGGGTCACAGCATTAGGAAGGGTGAGAACCACTGGGCTGGGAATTTACAGACTTTACGATTTTTAAAAATTATTTTGGGTGTTTTGCCTCCCATAATTATGTTTGTGCATCACTTAAGTGCAGTGTCCTTGGAGGCCAACTGTCTATAACTTAGGGACGGTTGCTGCCCTGTGGGTGCTGGGTTCGAACCCAGGTCCTCTAAAAGAGCAGCCAGTGCTCTCAACCTCTGAGCCATTGCTCCCACACCGTGCGTGTTTTATGGTTTTATATTTCACACTTAGGTCTATGATCCTTTTGAGTTACTTTTTGTGAAGGGTATCAGGTCTAGATTTTTTTTCCTAGCCTCTAGAACTGTGAAAAATAAGATTTTTTTTTTTTTTTTTTAATAAGCCACCTGGACTATGGTATTCTCTTTAAAAAATACTATTTTATCTGTGTGGGTGAAGTTTTGCCTATGTGTGTGTCTGTGAACCACATATATGCAGTGCCCAAGGAGGCCAGAGGAAGGTGTCAGATCTCCTGGGACTAGAGTTACAGATAGTTATGAGCTGTCATGTGGTTCTGGAAATTGAACCCAGGTCCTCCAGAAGAACAGCCAGTGCTCTTAATTACTGAGTCATCTCTCCAGGCCCCTGTGGTATTGTTTT